TTTTGGGCGTTTTGGGTTTTTTCGGCTTAGCAGCAGCGGCCTTCTTCGGAGATTTGGGCGTCTTGGGGCCAGTCTTGGCCTGAAAACGAAATTGTTAATGTACGGGTACAAAAATTTCAAAAATGGGAGTTGGATGTTAGAATCTTGATCTCACCTTCTTTGGCTTATCGCCAGCAGCCTTTTTCGGCTTAGCGGCGGTTTTCTTGGGCTTAGCAGCTCCCTCAGCTTTGGGCTTCTTGGCAACTTTCGGCTTAGCTGGAGCCTCAGCCTTATCAGCCAGGCGGAATCGTCCAGCAGCACCGGTTCCGGATGCCTGCTTGAATGAACCGCCAATGACTCCTTTCTTCAAAGCCATGCGGAGATGAGCACTGATCTGTGAAAGGAAGAAAATAATTTGAATTTGTGAGAAAATGAATCCAAAATAAAAACTATAATTCAAATTAGGCTCCCTTACCTGCTTGTCGTTATCTCCAACCTTGTACTTCTGTATAATGAATTTTTGAATAGCTTGTTTTGAGGCTCCCTTACGATCCTTAAGATCCTTAATGGCAGCCTTGATCATTGCGCTGTACGCGGGATGAGTTGGCATAGCCTTGGGTTTTTTCTCACCCTTGGGCTTTGTGGTCTTAAATAGACAATATTAGACATTATAAAAACACATAAATATTCTATACAATGTACCTTAGCCTTCTTTGGGGCAGAAGTAGGAGAAGCAGCAGATGCAACAGCGTCAGACATGGTCGAATGAACTCGTTGTGAGTAGGCGCGTCGGTAGGAAATGACGCTGATAGAGGGGGTCGAGTCCCCCCGTTGCGACCCCTGCCGAATCTCTCTTGGTTATGGGCGGGAAAATTAGCGTTACTATCGTTGGAATCTAAAGAAAAAGGATTCATATAGTATTATTGGGTATCTAGATATTTTGAGGAAATACGATTTAAAAAGACAAGAAAGTTGTAAACTTAGGAGCATGTCTAATTAGGTAAAATTCCATCGAATCAGGTAGGAAGTAAGCAAATAGCACCTAAAT